ATGAGTTCACTGATTGATCCGCTTACGGAATGCTGGATGGTTGATGATGCCTTATTGTCAGACAGCGATTCTGTAGTCCTAGTGGTATATCTGGTCCTTAGACTTGAGACACCAAGGATGTCCTGTATGAGTGCTCTACTCTTTAATACCAGACTTATAGGTTTGGTTGTCCCAGATCTAGTACAGCTGTTCATTGAGAGTGGTAGTCGACCTTACGAGGGCTATTGAGTGTCGATAGAGGATCATCCACTCTTGGCATCATGAGAGGAATATCCCATGTGTTCTTGCTCAGAAAAATCCCTGGCTAGAGTCATTCGGGTTGAGAGAGAAAGAGTTCTCCGGGAGAATCCGATTAGAGCGAGACTAGAGTTGAAACCGTATGGGTTTGATAGCACCATGCTCGATATACGGTCTCTAGGATATTAGATGGATGAGGGACTATAGGTACATGGTAACTGAGGACAGACAGGTCCAATGGATTGGATTTCCCTGTATCGTCTGGGGACTACGACGTAGTGGCATAGTACGTCCGTAGTCGATGAGTCGAGTGAATTATTACATAGATAATAATTCACTAAGTTAGAAGGAGTTCTGACGGGTATGACTCACGGCCAGCTCGATATTGGGCTTAGAGGGTCACACACATATGGTAGGCATTACGATGAGTAGAGGTTCGGATATGAGATATTTGACGGAGCCCTTGTCTTATTGGATATCCAATATGCTCCTGAATTATTGGATCCCATGGACGAGATCCAATAAGAGCCCATGAGAAATTATTGGATAGAGATCCACTAATCTAAAAGGCTTGGGTTATTGGATGCAGATCCAATACCCACTAGGGGAGGATCCATTAGGGTTTGACAGGGGACCTCTATAAATAGGAGGGATTCAGAGCCTCATAGGCTAGAGCCTTTGCTTGCCTCTCCTATTCTCCTCTCCCTCTCCACCTCAGAGCAGGCCTGAAGTTTTGAGGAGCGTCGTCGTAGCCTTACTGTGTGGATCACCGCTAGAGAGGAGGACGCTTGACCTCCTTCACCCTCTCCTAAAGATTTGTAAGGAAATTGGGATATACGATCTCCCTAGTAACACAATCTACTCTGTACGCAGTTTTAAGTTTCGCGGATTTTGCGCACCAATCTTCGCACAACGACAAACATCTCTTTGGGAATCCGGGATTTTGTTTTCTTATTCTTCCGCTGTGCATGTGATGTCGCCCCATGATTTTCCAACAATTGTAACTCTAGTGACCCCACACGAGCAGCTATAAGACTAGTCGTCTCCATCATATGGATGGGTATACAATACACTAATCTGTCCAGTTATCTCGATGTCCTTCTCGAGGAACCTATGATAAGAATTATTTAGGGTCGGTATTTAAAGGTGAATCAATCTCATTATCGTGATCTTATCACGATCCGATTCCGATTGTATAGATCTATAAACATCACAATATATCTATATATCAAGCAATATAAAATGAGAAAATATCATAATAATAATAATAAGCAAAAAATAATAATAATAGCAAAATGACTATATATCATGTCACATGTGTCATTATTTATATGATTGACTTGTAGGGCACCTATGACTAGTAGAGGAGGTCCGAGGAACCCCCTACATGTGAACCAACCCGAGGCCCTCTTGGATTTTTTTGGATGAATTGCGATCGACCCGAGGTTGGTCAACCAGCACTTCTTCTTTTAATTGTTGGAACTCTTATTGTATCTCCTCCAAATATCGATTCATCTACTATAGTTGGATCCGTAAAGAATCCTCCATCGATTGAAACTCAAATTTCGACATGATAGAGTAGTGGTGTGATCCATCAAATTTCATAGTTGGGGACTGAAGTGCCCCCTTGACTAGTGGTTCGATCAATCTTGAGTGCTCCTACGATATCGATACCATATAAGGTCAATAAATCTTTATAGGTGTCGATGCCAGTTAAGGTATAGCCGATGATGTCGACTAAGCTTGTGGCACCTCCTATTGAGTTTACTAGGGCAAAAGCAGAGTGATGTCCTATATCATGCATGTTAGCATTTGCACTTGCTGAGTGAGATTTAAAAATACCTCAATGGGAATAAGTAGATAGCCCGATGTCATCTCTAAGATGAGAGACTCGAGTCATTGAATCTATGCTAGTATCGTATCAACGTCTACGTCGAGGTGGATGCACCTATGTGTGGAAAGGGTAGTTGCTACCCCTCTTAGGTGAAAAGGCCCCTTCGCTCGAGCATTTATTGAGAGGGTCGACGGGCAATTATTCCTATAACATTAGGATCTTCTTCTAATATCAAAAACGTTGAAGGAAGAAGTCGTTGACATCCTGGTCATCTCAACGTAATTTGGACCCGTATGTGTAGAGTTGTATGAGGTACCTCTAAAGTGAAAACATCGAGCTCTTGAGGTTTTCACTTACATAAAGATCACCCTCTAAGCGTCCCCTTTTCGTTATGTTGAAGCTAAGTTTTTATACCTATTCGTAAAAGAGCAAAATATTTCATTAAATAATTTACGGGGAGGTAGCTTCTAGCCGCCTCCAACGATCTCTCCTTGACCTATTATCCACGTGGATAACAAGGGAAGAGTAGCTCATAACATTGCTCATATGGGCAAATGGATGGAGGGTAGCCTCCGTCCTCTTCTTTCACTCTCAATACATATGATGATCATGTTTTGATAAAGGTCAAAGTGACAATATACTCGTTATCAATGAGCTTCTTATGTTAGGATACTTACAAGAAAATAATAATATATGACTTACCTCTTGATACCTGTTACAAAATCATAAGTTATTTCTTTATATATATATATATATATATATATATATATATATATATATATATATATATATTCTTCTTATTTTATGTTTATTTCATCTAGTGTCGTGTCTACGGTGAGAGAACAACCATTCTAACTATTGTAATGAATGAGAAATAAATTAGCTATCTAATAAAATTGAGGGTTTAGTTATAGATCAAATCAAAACTAACAATATCATAATCAATGTAGTATTATATATTGGTGAGGAATTCGAATAAAAAAATTTACTCATAAATAAGATTACAGAGGATATAAACAATACAGAGTCATGTCATAATGTGAATATATTATTACAAGGATTCGGTTTGAATTTTATTTTTCGATCACTTACTCTTTGTCAAAAAAAATCAAAATCAAAATATATTGAGGAGTGTAAGTGAGAGAAATTATAATACTTTCATATGGTCCGTATAGAAAGTGAATAAAGAGTCGTATTAACTTATAAAAACTTAATATGTGTATCATTATTAATTGGGTCTTAAGTATCTTCGATGATGATTTAGATTCAATAAGATTAATATGTTGATGATTCTATTCGGTTAGATCATGATAATCATAAAAAAAAACTAAACCAAAAAACTTTGGTCACGAGGACAAGAACAGTGATAAGTTTTTCTTTTTTGAGTTGACTTAAATTATGTGATCTATATATACACTTATATTTCTCTAAAAAAAAATAAGAAAAGAAATAACTATATCTTAATTTGAGAAAAGTAAATCCTGATTTTGAAGTGTTTTCTTCACCATATATTTGAATTCCTAATCCTCCAAATAATAAGAATTTAGAAATTCAAAAAAAATATATTAATCAACCCCAATCAAATCCATATGCTCTCTCCCCATGAAATGGCATCTTGGTGTCACAAAGAGTTGGTCAATGAAATGGACCGAAATGGGCCGACCTCAGTTTGATCAAATCATTATATGTATGTACGGCCTCTCTTAATATCATTAACCCAAAAGGATTATATAGACCTTAACTTATTCTGATCTTTGGATCTAAATATCAAGAACCAACATATTTTACTTGTAACAAGGAATGGTGTATCAAACTTAAATCATCATCATCATCAACTCATTTGAGATAATTGTTGCATTTGATACTTTCCTTAATTTCTAGCTCTATTTCTTAGTCAAAGATTTATCATACTATTTAGAACAAAAGAATTAATAGATTTGTTTCATCTAATTCGCCCGATCTAAGAATTAATAGATTATGGAACTGAGTGGAGCATCATAGATTTGGTTTTTCTAAGAACTCTATCCATCAATATACTTTAGTTTAATGAAAGTATATATTAATTGAGTTTCTAATATTGGTTTGAATATCCTAAAAAAATTTTGTTGGATAATGTTTCAAACCTTCTACATTATTATCAAACCAATTTCTTTGATATTATATTTATTGGATGAGATTTCGGATCTTAATCCTTACTAAATATGATTGATGTAAAATATCATGAAATCTATAAATCTTATCAAACCTAAATGATATAGATTTGATGTAATATATTACATGCCACGCCAAAAAATAAAGGTGGAAATCCACTCTCTCTCTCTCT